CGACACGAAACCGATCAAACGATTTTGAAACCGATCAAAGAAATCGAAACCGATCAAACGATTTTGAAACCGATCAAAAACAATATTTTGCTACAACAATGCCCCGGCCCAGGGGTGTATTGAAAACAATTTAGTAGTCAAAGAAGTCGGAGATGTGAAAATTCCGAAACGGTCGGTCGATAGACGAGTTGCGGGGGGTCCAGCAATTTTCCCTCACGCTTTTTGGTTTCGCTTTACTCGTTGTTCAACACTGGGTGGACTCGAGAAATACACATATCTATATATATTGATTATCTACATATATTAGTCAATCATGTTCGTCTCACGCATTGGAAGAGCTCTATCATCCCAACCTGTTTCTCTTATCTGCCGTCAATGTGTTTGCATGATGTCAACTGCCTCACCTGATGGATTGTACAAGTTATTGGACACTGGTGACAACGTCGGAAATAGTATTCCTGAAGCCATGTTCTCGTTGTACAATGCCGATGCAGTTTGTTTCGATGTTGATTCAACAGTAATTAATGAAGAGGGAATCGACGCTCTTGCCGAATATCTTGGAAAAGGAGAAGAAGTGGCGGAGTTGACGAAACAAGCAATGGACGGTGATACAAAGTTTCAGGATGCTCTGCAAATGAGATTAGATATTATGAAGCCTTCCAAATCACAGATCGAGACTCTTTTGGACGAACAACCTCTTGTTTTGACTGATGGCGTGGCCAATTTGGTGAAGAGCTTACATGAGAAGAATGTTGATGTGTGGCTTGTGTCCGGAGGATTCAGAATTATGATAGAGCCTGTTGCGGAAATTCTGAATATACCTACCTCCCACATTGTAGCAAATCAAATCTTATTTGATGACAATGGTGAATATAAAGGGTTCGACAAGGATGAACCAACGAGTCGGGATATGGGGAAGCCAAAAGCTTTGGAACAAATTAAAGCAAAGAATTGTTACGAAACAATGGTTATGGTAGGTGACGGAGCGACTGATGCCCAAGCAAAACCCCCGGCGGCAGCGTTCATTGGATTTGGCGGTGTTGTAGAGCGGGAAGCAGTGAAGGAGAAAGCCGATTGGTTTGTATTATCTTTTGATGATATGACAAAGATTGTTCGAATGAGGCCAAACTAGATTATAGGAAACATATTGATATCACCCTCATTTTTCATTCGCTTTCTACTACTAGTGATCTCAATGGCAATGAGTTGGTATCAAGTGAGAAACAAGAGCTACCGTTCGCAACTAGCGCCCCTACTAGTCGAGATGAACGGATGAGTGACGATCTGAAGGGGCTCTTGTAGTCAGGCCATTATCACCATCCTCCCATGAAACGATTTCATTGCACCATTTACCGATCTTATCACAAAATCCTTGCATGGGAAGGATTGTAAATGGTTCTTCCATTTGAGTGGCTAACTCGTCTATACCGAGTAGGAAGACACTAATTGCCGCTGTTGCAGGTATTAATCCAATATGGTTCCATGTATTCGCAAATGAAGAGTATAATCCAAAAGGCAACAAAACGAGCCACAAAGAAAGAGATCGAGCCGTGTGCCTCGTGTAGAACAATGGGATCGGGGACGTCAGCAGCCTTTCGCTTCCTCCAAGAGTATTCTCAAAGACAGTGAGAGCGGCATGCAGCTCATTTCTCCTCAAAAAGTGCATTGGAAGGGCTTCAATAGCCATGGAGAGATCATGAAGCGCTCGATTGGGCCGATGAACAGCTTTGATGATGTTCTCAGCTTGATGCTCTTGGAGTTTTTCGTGCAGTTCTTTTTTGAAATCGACCTCATCTTCCACAGGAGAGAGGTGCCTTTTCATTGCTCTAACGAAGGCCCAAGTACAGAGAGAGAGATGTTTCAAGTCGCTTCTGCGCTTCTGGTCACTCACCCCTGCCTTGTCGTAAAAACAACTTGCCATCCTTACTAGATCTCGTGTGCGATTAATATTCAGGCCCCAATTCTTTCGTGCTTCGTCCCATCTCTTATAGGCTTGGTTGGTTCTGAAACCTAGCAAAAGCCCCAAAGAGGAACTCGACAGTGTGAACGCAGTCATTGGAAATGTTAAAGCCGTGAAGGGACCAGACAGGACCTCTTTTTGAACAGTTGTATTCCAGACGACAAGAAATGTTGCAACGAACGTTACGGCAACTGCTTCGTTGCTAATGTTTTTGTAGATTCCGGACTTTGCAATCGACATAACATTCCTTAAAAAACGATTTGGAGATCGATGTTTAACCCAGTCATCGTGGCTATAAATGGTGCGCCGGAATTTACGAGACTCCTCACCGTATGATATTGATTTCGGTGGAGATGTCGATGATATGGGTTTCGTGCTCAGTTGAAGCCTCCTCGGAGAACCTCTCACTAACTGAGGGTTGACACTGAAGCCTTGGGTGAGCGAGAGAAAAAGAACGGTAATCAGAAAGCGAAGCATTTCCATGTTTCTGTTGAGCACTGTGGATGCTACAACTTTCATGTTGAAATACAGTACTGATTTGCGATCTTTTTCAGAACGCAGTTTTGGTGTCTACCAGGTACTGTAGACCAGTGTCAGGCCCTATCGTAGACGGTGCGTAAAAGACGTACGTGGACATGACATCACGAAGATCGGAAATTTTTTTATCGTTCGCAAAAATCCATGATGCGGACTGCAGTGGTCATCCTTTTGCTGGCATCAACTGTGGCAGCTTTCAACACCCATCGACAGCCATGTAAAGTTTCAACTGAATTGTTCGGGAGCACCAAACCAAAGAAGAGTGTCTCATACGGAGAAGAATCTCGCAAATTTCGGCGCACCATCTACACTCACGATGACTGGGTCAAGCACAGGTCGAACCGTTTTGCTCGAAGTATCCTTTCCTTCAAATCTTCAGGGATATACAAAAACATTGGTAGAGAAGTATTGCTCACAACCGCTGTCGCAACTTTCGTCGTTCTATGGAACATGGTTGCTTGTGGATTCAAGGGTTTGGACGGAGTTGTACATCCGAGTCCCTTCCCGTCCCGTCTTCTGACAAAGCTAACGTTGCCTCTAGCTCCTTTCACACTGGCTAGCCCTTCACTTGGTTTGTTACTCGGTAAGTTGGAAATCTGGCTATGAAATGGTGCCTTTTAGTTGTTGCTTATCCATCCTATTGCTGCAGTTTTTCGAACGAACTCATCGTATCAACGATGGGATGAAGCACGAAAGAATTGGGGCATGAACATCAATCACACAAGAGACCTTGTGAGGACGGGGGTTTCTTTCTACGACAAGACTGGGGTGAGCGATAAACAGCGTGAAGAAGACTTGAAACGGCTCTCGCGCTGTACCTGGTCGTTTGTTAGAGCAATGAAACGACACCTGTCTCCGGAAGACGATGAAACCGATTTCAAAAAAGAGATGTATGAAAAGCTCTCAGTGGGTCAGGCCGAAGCTGTAATAAAGGCTGTCCATCGCCCCAATCGAGCGCTTCATGACCTCTCCATGGCTATTGAGAACCTCCCAATGCACTTTTTGCGAAAGAATCAAATGCACAAGTCAATCACAATTTTCGAAGACAACCTTGGTGGCAGTGAACGCCTTCTCACTTCACCAGTTCCACTTTTTTATTCCCGACACACCGCTCGATTCTTGAGCTTTTGGCTGATTTTGCTTCCATTCGCGCTCTTTGATGCTTTTGCGAGTACGTGGAACCATGTGGGGATCATTCCAACTACATCCATCATCAGTCTATTCATGTTCGGTATCGAAGAGTTAGCCACCCAAATGGAAGAACCTTTTACTATCCTTCCCATGCAAGCATTTTGTGATAAGATTGGCAACTGGTGTAACGAGATTGTTTCTTGGGAACCTGACGCCCGCTTGGATTCCTGATGGTTTCAGCATCGCGCTGGGTACTGTGAACTTTTGTGGAATATTTGGATTAGCTACTAGCTCCTTTTATGTGAATATATGTAAAGCATCCCACAACTACAGTACCTGGTACTGTCTGTACCTGGAACACCCGGCAGATCGAGGATTTTCTATTGTTTCGAGTAACGGACAGATTATTTGAGTCATTTGGACGACTCGTTTTATGTCATTGCTCGCCGCATTAAGTAAATGACACTTAATATTCGAAACATTTTCGGTTATTTGATTGGCTAAGGACCTATCCAAATGACCTTCTCTCCCCATGAGGACTCACTTTCCCTCACCCGCGGGTGAGCAAAATTTTATAGCAGCAAGATTCGGGGGATTAAAGCAGGGGATCGGCGAATCCGGAACATTTGGGTCGCTGGATGGCTTGTCGCCAGTCGAGTCCACGATTCAAGAGAGATTGACCACAACAGCTTCCGGTGCTGAAACATCGGAGCCATTTCAGCACGGTGCTGAAACCATACTTCCAAGTCTGAAACCAGCTTACGGTGCTGAAACCAGCTTCCGGATCCAAGCAGTATCCCCCAAATCTTCCCCTTCTGTAACGTATCTCTTCTTCGTCAACAATGAGAATTGAAGTTTCAGAAGAAGTCTTCTTCCACCTTGGGCTCCTACTCTCTCTTCATACTCCAACACAAATCAGTCACACCTGCGAGGAAACAAATGAATAGAGATTCAAGGGCGCTTACTTTGCAGCTGCAAAATCAGTCCACGATATCTTTCGTTTCCGATTGTGTATTTTTTCACAAAAAAACCGGTTCGCCCCAATTTTGAACCCTACTGTTTATTTTACTCAGCATGGCAAAATAATGTATTCTATATATAAAATATTCAAATATGTAGGAATCGATCCTAATATCGGCTGCAAAAGGATAAAGAACCCAAAGCCTACTCACCTCCTGTTGGCTTTGCGTTTCTTGAAGTAGTAGCCCACAAAAGAACATTGGCTGGTTTTGGATATGTGTCCGAGAAATTGCATTACTTCCAGGTGCTCGGAATGCCGTTTCGCACTGTTGGAGGCAAAGTCTTTGGAAGCACAAGACAGTTTTGGAGGCATGCCTTCTACTCATCCAGTTCAAATTGGAAAATGAAAGTCGCCTACTAAACCACGATAATATATTTAAGTTATTCCTATCACTTCCTTCTTAGTAGTATTTCAAATATCCTGTTGTTGCAGTGTATTGCAACGAATCAAGAACGTATAAGAAACTAGATGTAGGATGTCGACTGTTGTCGTCTACAGTGCGAGCGGTATTTTTGAAATATAAATAAATGGTGCAATTCAAGTATTTTGAAACAGATAAAAATGGTGCCAGTATTTTTAATTTACAACAATAGGGCATATTCAAATAGACAGCAGTTAGATGTTGGAACGACATTGACCACCATTCCTGCAACTTTCATCTGTACTAAGGCACAGATAAAGCCAGACAGAGCCAGATTTTGCTCTGTCATACTGGTAATGTATATTTGGAGGAGCACCGGGTTCAGAAGAGAAGCTTTGTTGAATGACGCTTTAGACTGGAAGATCTCCACGTTCGTATACACATCCAAAGCTCCTCCGCCGAAGGTCCAGCACGTTACCATACAAAAACCAGCCAGTAGTCTTGGAACCTTCAAACTCCACGGGAAAAGCTTGAGAGGGTTCAGAACGAGAACGAGCATTCACAAATTGTCGGAAGGCTCATCCTGATTTCTGCCGCGTGGCTCGCTGACATCTCCATCTCTGATCTCCAAATTGTTGATTCCTCCAGCATGATCTCCAAACTCCAGATACACTCAAACGACATCATTGTCCCCTAGTTTATCCTCCTTCTTGTCGAGTTCCTCCAGCATAGCACCCATTTCCAACTGAAGCTGGCCTGCCTGTTGTTTCATTGGTTGCAGATCCTTCAGCCTCACTTTGAGACGCGACAAATGATTCAATGAGAAAATCAAGAGTTTCGGATGTCCCAAAAATTTGTGACTAACAAACTCGTTCATGAGTTTGTGGCATCGTAGTATACCCCACATCATCTCTGCAGCATCATGTATTGATAACTTCTTCAAACTAGGTCTCATCAAACCCATACTCCAAACCCTATGCAGTTCCACAAATACAGCTTTTATGACTTCGCATGGGAACCTCCACGCCTCTTCTGCATCTTCACACTGCCGCAGGCAAATTGTCCTTTGACTTGTGAGGAAGTTGGCAATAGCCAACCAATGGTTCCTCGCTTCCATAGTGAGGGCGGTTAAGACCGCCAAGGCATCCTGGTGATGGGGGCTCATTGGTCTGATCAGCCAACCAATAGTTTTCGAGACCTCTTGGTCCACCCCTTGAGATATCTCAAACTGAATTCCTTGTCTGCCATACTGCCTGTCCCATTTCTCAAAACTACTGATCCTTGGTAAAGAGTGACGGCTGCTGGTACCAGCTAGGGGTATTGGGATGGCCTTTCGCATGGATGCATAAACAGACGCCATCAGCATGTTATCAAAGCCCCCTCTGATTGCGTGATGATCTCGGGCTAGTACATCATCGATGGCTGATGCTTTCCCTTCCTTTGTCACACAGTTAACCAACGACACCACATCATGCCCAACAAACCACACTGATGAGCCGTCCAAATCCATCCTGGTATGCAAGAAACGCTTGCAATCCTGGACTCCGCCAAACTCACAACCTGCCACACTGACTTTACCCTTCTGAGTATTCAGTTCCCAGTTGGCCAATCGCTCCTGAAGACTCGACAAGGAATCCAAGATCAATGGTGGGAGTGGTACCGTGCCCTCTTGTTGAGTTGTCACTCTTGACTCCAACTCAGCTATCTCTTGTTTCAGGGATGCATTCTCTTTCTCGAGCCCCTCTATCCTTGCAAGGATACCTTTTTGTTCTTCACAATTTTGAATCACTACTAGTTTACTCGTGTCTACTGACCCAAAGAGACTGGTACCCCCCAATGCCAAGGGAGCAGGGACCTTTTCCAGAGACTGTACTCGTTGAGCCAACGATTGTCCAGGGTCCTCATAGAACTCTTCCTTCATCCTGATGAGTCCAGGCAGAATGTGATCGCAAAGAGTTCCCATTGATAGCTCAAGCGAACTCTTTATGTAGTCACTAGACTCCTTCAAGTCCTTTGTAGCAATCTGCATCTCACAGACTCTCGACTCCAAAGTCTCCAATCCAGCGTTCTGGATCGCACTAAATCTACTGATGATCTCCACACCCTTGCACCTAAACAATTCCAACTCCCGGTGAAGCCCCAGCAATCCGTCATACACTGTAGTGTACCCAGTTGCTTTCTCAATCTCAGTATTGTTTCCTTCAATGCTCCTTTCCAACATACTTACAGCTAAAGCAATGGCGTCTAACTTAGAGTTTATCATAGTGATATTCTCTGAATACCTTCGATTGGTTGCACCGACAAACCAATTCACTTCTCCAATCAAAGACCGTAGCTCAATCACATCAATCAAATCCAAACGATCCACCTCCACAATTTTATCTGCAAATTTTCCCGCAAATTTTGACATGTCAACAGGATGATTCCCCAATGATAGAGGAGTCAAATCCCTGAAGGACAAAGCCAAGTCCATTTTTCCAGCCTCGTTTCCCGATCGCTTTCCGCCAGGTACCTTCCGGGGGGGGTGCGAAGAACGTTGAGCTGTGTTTCAAGTCAAGAACATCACTCGGGGGAGCGGATTGCGAAATGAAACAGTCCGCGTTTTCTGATGGGTTGGATGTTGGCGGTGCTGAAATTGATGGATCTGGTGTGTTTGCTGGTTTGGCCAAGCATAATACAACCAAACTATCATCACCAACAGGCACCGTTGGTAGAGGAGGCGCCGTGCGAGCAGACTTTAGTCCAGCAAAGTAGTCAGTCATGATCGGAGATTAGGAATTGAATGCAAAAAAAAGCGAGAGCCAAGCGAATAGTCACGATAACTTCAGATGTACTTTCTGAAGCCTAAAACCAATAACCAGTGCACTTGTCCTCGTGTTGTTGCGTATCATAGCTTGAACACCACTCGAGTAGAAAAAGCAATGAGAGTTACGTCCCTCTTGCTCTTGCTTTGTGGCCAATATTCAACCCGTAGCGACCAATAGGGGTTGTCAATGAACCCAACCCAACTGTTTTTTTTTGGGCAGCTGTGATTGGTCGAGCAAAAAAAAAATAGTTGGTTCGGGTCAGAAAAAAAATAGTTGTGCCAAAAAGAGACCCAACTATAATATAGTTGGGTCTGCAATGACCCGGAGATAATTGATTCGCGGGATAAAAGATTTATAATTCCTGTCCAATGTTTTATATTTTTCGTGTGGAACAGTTCAATTTTGAGTAAACGTAGCCCAAAGTTAAACAAAGAATAGTTGGGTCATGCTATATTTTTCGAAGATAGAGAGTCGTTTGTCTTCTTCTCCCTTTTGCAGACAGCAGCTTCTTGCCATAACCTACAAGTACACCATTCTTCATCAAACAACAATGCCAGGGAGGTCGAGGAAAGCCATCCATATAAAAGCCCTTTGGGAAGCGCTAGAGGAGCGTGTCACTCAAAGAGAGCTTCGAACGATAACCGGACGGACGAAAGCTGCTGCTGATCGTCTTGACTTGCTTCTGCTTGGGCAAATAAGATCGCTGGAGTCCAAACGTTACCTGTACCTGTTAGAATAAAGCAAAATGTGCTCTATCGTGAGTGCCTTTAGCGCTCAGAACAAACTCTCTGCAATCTAAATTCGTAATCGACTGTACAACACTTTCACGACAATAGTTCTCCTGTGTCTAGGT